GACCGGTCGAGTACATGACCAAAAAGATGCCATCACAGAAGTTGGCAAAGTCCACCTACGAGAGGGAACTCTATGCTCTCTACAAGGCACTTGTCCACTGGAGGCACTATCTGTTAGAAAGGTTGAAATCATAGATTAGTACGACTTCAAACTAGACTATGTGAAGGGAGAGTACAACAAAGTTGTGGACTCGTTGTCTAGAAGGGCAAATTACCTAGGTGCGCTGATTTCCGACTTCTTATCTGAAGAAGTGACTCGATCTTTGGGGGAAGCCTACAAGGAGGATCCAATCACGATGGACATCATCAACAAACTGCAGGCCAAACACAAGGCCACCACCGACGAGTTTGCGATGGTGGACGGGTTACTCTTTCTTGAAAAGGCAGGGTTTAAAAGGTTAGTCGTTCCATCTAGAAGGGCATATTACCTAGGTGCGCTGATTTCCGAGTTTGGCTTATCTGAAGACGTAACTCGATCTTTGGGGGAAGCCTACAAGGAGGATCCCATCACGATGGACATCATCAACAAACTGCAGGCCAAAGACAAGGCCACAACTGGCGAGTTTGTGATGGCGGATGGGTTACTCTTTCTTGAAAAGGCAGGGTTTAAAAGGTTAGTTGTTCCATCTAGGGAAGTTTTGCGTCGTTTATTTTTAGGTGAGTGCCATGATGCAACGGGACATTTCACCTACAAAAAGACTAGTGCTAATTTAGTACAGTGATTCTGGTGGCCGAACATGCTAGACAATGCAAAGAAGTCCCAAGAGGTTAGAAGTACGTACAGACCTGTCAGGTCTGTCAACGGGACAAGTCGCGGACTCGAGCTCCGCTTGGGTTACTCAAGCCTCTACCCATTCCTGCTGGCCCAGGGCGAAGTATCTCCATGGACTTCATGGATACTCTCGTGACCAGCAAGAATGGCAAGAGGCACATCTTCATCATAGTTGATAGGTTCACCAAGTATGCTAGACTAATTGCAATGCCAGAGACTGTCAGGACTGGACATGTCATGAAGTTATTCACGGATAACTGGGTGCGTGACTTTGGACTGCCAAAGACAATCGTTAGTGATAGAGATGTGCGTTTGACAAGTGAGATGTGGAAGGCGACCACTAAACAGATGGGCAGCCAACTTCAGATGACTTCTGGGAATCATCCGAACAGATGAAGTGTGTGGTGCAGCATCTGCTGAGGCATTATATCAAGCCCAGCCAGAATGATTGAGATGAGAAATTACCTTTCATCGCCAGCCTGTACAACAACGTTGTACACAGAGCACGACGTCAATCCTAATCGGCTGCATCTGGGATGGAAGCCTAGATCTGCTCTAGACTTCCTCCTGCATGAAAACCGAACTGCTGCAACTCCTAGAACCACTTAATTTGGTGTCCATTATGAGAAATTGTTGCAGCAGACTGTCGAACACATCAAGAAATCTCGGGAAGCTATGATTGCTTATGAGAACGAACGTCGCCGACAGTCCACATTTCAGGTAGACGAACGTGTCTGGGTCAAGGCTAGTGAGTTGGGACAAGAGTTGGGTCAAGGCATCTCTAGGAAACTAATGCCTCAGTATTCTTGTCCCTGGGAAGTCTTGGATATTGTAGGGAATGATTTGGATGGTCCCTCGTACGTCATTCGTATCCCTGGTCACCTTTCGCTGAGACAACACAGTTCCCATCACGGAGATCTATGCTGCCCCCAACCATGAACGCCGACGTGGACGTCAACGACATCCTGGATCACACAGACACGCCTGTTCCCAAGCCACCTGACAGGGGAAGACCTCCTAAATCTGCAAGGGAATACAAAGCACATTTCAGGCATCATACTGATCCTGAGGAAGATCGATGGATTTCAAGGGAGGAACTTGTCAAGACAACTCCTCAGATCGTGGCAGATTATGAGAAGAAACTGAAGGGGAAGGCACCAACATGAAGCATCTCAGCGGACTTTTGAAGCTAAGGGGGATGGAATGTGAGGAACAAGCCCTCAAGGGGCCCTCTATCAGCCATCACATGTTCTGGGCTAAGGCCGCCAGCAAGCCGAGTGCCCGCCCTCACTGGAGGCGGGCCTGAATATTCGTCAGAGGCCAAAATTCGACATTTCCATATGTGGGTATTCACGCTCCTGCAGCACGCTAGTTGGTTGAGTAGACGCGTGAGCCTCACTAAGCTGCGTCATACAGTTGGCCCAGGGCTTGACAGTTGCGTCTGGCACATACGCACAAAGCAAGGCCGATACATTGGGAAGCAGGCCATCGGCCTTTGGAAAAGCAGTACTGTCGACGCACCTGCCGGGGAGCCCTGCACAGATGCAGCAAACAGCCCAAGTCCGGCGACTCAGGTCGTGCCCAACTGAAAAGGGCCCAGGCCCTCAACTGTAGTCTCGGGCCTGGGCACAGTGTCTGAGGCCCAACTGGAAGCTACTGGAAGCTTCCAGCCAGGCCACACGCAGCATCCAGAAGGCTGCCACTTCCATAAAAGAAGTGAGGCAGCCCAGGCCAGGCATTCTGGCCACTGCACGCAATGCGAAAGTGCTGCTGCGCTATTGCTTGATGCTGCGCTGCTGCCAAGGGCGCTGACAGGGCGCGTAGTGGTGAAGTGGGGCGCTGCAGAGCAAAGGAAGCAGCGGCCATATCCAGGTGGGTTACCACCAGCCTCTCTCTCTCTCTCTCTCTCTCTCTCTCTCTCTCTCTCTCTCTCTCTCTCTCTCTCTCTGTGTGGAAACTGTGCAGCTCCTTCCCGTTTCTCCCTTGCCATCGTTCTTCTCCACCTCCCCCCTCCTCCCTCGCTATCGATCTACTCCTCCCTCCTCCATTCCCTCCCTCATCATCGATCTTCTCCTCCCTCCGTCGTTGTCCTCCCTTCCCTCCATCATCGACGTCGTACTCCCTCCGCCCTTCTCCCTTCCCGCTCCTCCCTCGCTATTGAACTCCTCCTCCATCCTCCATTCCCTCCCTCGTCATCGATCTCCTCCTCCCTCCGTCATTGTCCTCCCTGCGCCCTTCTCCCTTCCCGCTACTCCCTCGC